AGATGCTCAGAGCGCCCAGCTATATGTGCAGCTCGACTCATGTACCCCATGCGGACATAATTTGAAGGATTAAACACATCCCATAATTTAGGCAGTTACTGTAGACTGAATACTCTGGCCATGAAACATGTCAATAACCGAGGTATCGTCTAAACCAGGAACGCCAAACCAGCAACATTGAGCGCAAACGCGTCTCATCGCAATGCATACTTATGCACTCCATCCCCTCGGCAGCCCGGGCGGAGCCTTGCTCATACATGACAGGTATTTGTCTCCGATGTCGTGAAGTATGTGATTCAAGCCGGCAGGCCAGCAGCAGAGACGAAAAAGACTGTCTTAAACCGATGAGCGGCCGCCGGGAATTCCGCTCTAGTTAAACTTATCCCGTACCGAAAACAACGATGGTCGTGCTGGGGCTCAGTCCACGTGCGGGAGTCAAGCCAACGTGACGCATGGCCCGCCTGTGTGTAAATGACTTGAACGTCGGCTTCGGAATCAACGTTGCATCAATAATTCGCACAACTCCTAGCTAAGCATAACTCAAGCCAATAAGTTGCTAGCAATGAACTTATCCTGTAATAAAAGTCATTACCATATGCTAGAAGGTCGCGTTAAAGTGAATGTCCCACATTTGCCATGCCTTTTTAAGCTTAAAACCATCTCGTTTCCGAGCTTGACACCCACGACATTTTGCACACTATTTTGCACAACTATTTCAAAGCCACGCCTACACTCATGACGCCATACAAACGTCACGCGGATACTGCCCGCTCATTGGCCATGAGGCGCTCAAGGCCAACAAGTACGACCGTTGAATTCTTCATGCCTCGCGGGCGTCGGCACGATTCGTGGTATCAGTTGGCCCTCGGCCGACTGATACCACGCCCCTCGGTGTCGGGTTGCATGCAAGTTTCGCACACACATCATGTTTCGTGATCATGATTGGAGTTTTGGGGCCCACCGACTTCTGAGGTCATTTCGCGCCCACCACGCTTTGTGCTGTATAATACAGGAATATGAGCAGCGATACGGGCTATGGCCAAACTAAGACTTACTAAGAAATCGAATTACTTCAAAATAGCGCCATAACCCATTATTTCAATGAAAGCAACCGATGTAGCCAGACAATTATACAAGAACATCACGAAAACGGCAAGCACGCGAACACATAACTAAATAAGGGTTTCGCAAAAACGCACCAGCACGCACACCACCTATAGGCGGTTGAAGTACTACAAGTTGTACAGCCATCATGTCCATTATAGCCCGTCGGCTACGGTGACAATTCTGGTACGGCCATCTGGGCCGCGTTCCCCATTACCAACAATTGTACACAAATTGCAGCCTATAACGTCAGATATAAGTGCGTCACAACAGCTCCTGCGGCTTTGAGATCAGTCGCTTATGTATGACGTAAGTACCCGCGACGTCATAGGTAACAACTCATGTAGGTACTTTGCCAGTGAGGAACGCGGCCCTCGCAGCGGCTGACTTCATACACGCGTGCCATGTCGTAGTCAAACGATGACGTATTGAAGGCCTTATTTACTAACTAGTGAAATTTGGTTCTCTAGGGCAGTCTTTTGCTCTTAAAGCATACCAATCGTTAAACGTAAGCCTATTTCATCATGTCTGATGCTTGCCTCAATATCTTCAAATGAGGAACATTCCCTTTAAGTCAGGAGCAGGCCGGAAGGAGGGCGTGCATTCAAATTGCCCTTAGAGGCACATAGAAAGGCTACAGCTCAAAGGATCAAATATGTTTTCATTTCGCTGGTGGAAACTGTATGGACATAACCGTTCAAAATGTCTCCTAAATGTACCTACCAACCAACAGTAAGACAAAAAAAAAACTGGACAGCTGTCGTTTGCTTACTTCCTTCGCACAGACAATACACAACCGTATAAGCAAAAAAAAAGCGAAAAAGCGGCGTGCAAGCTGTGCCTCAATCGCGGATTACCCATGCCCGAATAGCGTCGGTTTCACACTTGCCCGCACAATCCCATGGCTGCACAAGCTAATACCGGGAAGATGAGCCACCTGAATTAGTAGATGCGTAATATGCACAAATGAAAAAAGCCTATCGCGTGGAAGCTGTTCCATTGGCGTCGTTGGGTACGCGGGAAGGCAAGTTAAGCGTTCACCATTGAATTCCAAACCACACTTGGAGCCGTGACACTAACATAGGTAACAATGGTCTTCTAGTCCTTAGTGCTCGAGAGCATGGCTTCGAAACATTGGGACTTTGGAGAACACTTAACATTTTTAGCCAAGTGAGCATTCCATTCCAAATTATATTCAGTGCAAACAAACTAGAACCGACCTAAGATCGAACAATGTCCCCGTAGGGTACCGTCCTCGTTTGACCATGGAAAGGTCTGTGATGATAACCATCAGCATAATCAAGTGAATCAGTGATGAAAAGCGACCCCTGCGTTTTCAGATCACCATGCCATGATAACTTTGATCCCCACACTACCATTCACATCCATTGTCTAGGACACAGTTATTGGTCGTAAAATAATATATAAATAACATAACATATAAATAAAATAATAAATAAAATATTTTGCGACCAATAACAGTCTAGTTATTGGTCGTAAAAATGTCTTTACAAACCTTTTGTAATGGCGCACAAATTAGCGCCCGGGTATAAGCCAGTGCAGATTTGGTTTGCAAAAAAAACAACAACAAAAAACGCATGGAACGAATGCATCCCCAGCTTTGCCAATTAACAGTGCCGCCTTTTATAGCCTCCTTGTGATCTCAGGCATGCCACTAGCGGGCTGACGTTCTCCCATCGCTAAGCGAGGGTTAAAGTGAAAAAGGAATGAAGGAATCCGAACTGGTTGCGACATCCTCCGAAGCACAACCTGGCAATTGTGCCTTCGGCAAGTAGATATCCTACATGCACACAATAAATCTAATATCCGAGCTCTCCTGAACAGTGGATGCTAATGAAAGTGCGAAGCAATCAAAGATGACACGGAGCAAATAGATATCTTTCCTTCATGATGTAGGTCTCGCATCGACATTAGGGTAGTGTTATCGTGAGGATGTCAAACTAGATAAGAACCACATCATACCCATCTATACGACATAGATTTAAGAATATGTCTTTAAAAATGGTGCGAAAAAAGAATGCACCTTGTTTGAAGGTCTTCATTGGTATCAAATATAGGGTTAAAGTAGCACCATCCTTGCTGACTGGGCGCAAGAAATTCCCCGGAAGAACAGCGTACGATTGGATGAAAGACGGGGGACAAACCGCGCCACAGGTGGCATGTGATGAACATCCAACCAACGCCTTAACAGGCACAGGACAAGCTTCTAACCTATCGCCCTTCTTCACTTCACACGCGCAATATCTAGTCGAAACATTTTTGCTACCGAAAGAAAACTGTTCTTTATGGGTGCTCATCAACTTCGTGCAAAAAAATAATGTCAAGCGCAGAGTGGTAAATTAATTGAATTAGTCCATCCAGTCAATACGACCGATCCGGTCCAACACCCCAGCCATATAATCACTATGTTGTACAAGTTTAGAAAAGCTGGTGTTATATTTATGTCTTGATGTGTGCCTCAATCACAAATCGGACTGCTGTGTGTGCAGCCAAGCTGTATGAGCGCACAGTTGATGCGACAAAAGCCCTGATACCGAGCTTGTTTGTGCACCGAGGCACTGCCGCCTTATCCTAACCTGGACAACCATCATCAAACCGCGGTCGCAACTGTTGACACGGGCGAAGAGCTGGTGCCTATACTGGATGGTATAAACTAGCCCCAATAAATCACGACCTGTCTCCACTATTCCAAACCTATAAGCAAAGTTTACGCTTTTTGTGTGCGCCGACTTCAGACAGAAGACTAGTCACTGCCTCATCACCGCTGTCACGTGAAAGCCAGGCTTGCCGGCAAATGAAGGCGTGGCATGTCACGTCGCTAGCGAGAGAGACGGCCGGCTGGCGGCCCCGGGCCGGCCTGCCCAGAGCTGGCCGAGGCGAGGCGCGAGTCACCGGCTCGTACGTTGGATATGTGGGTCTCCTCCTGTGCCCAGTCGACGCCGGAGGGAGGCGTGTACTTGGTACTGGTGGTGGGCGCGCCGAACCCAAGCACTGCAACAGGCCGCCATGCAGTGTGAGGCTCGGCCCCGGCACCCAGAGCACGGGCCGACGCACGACAGACAGCACGCACACCCAAAAACGCCCCACGCAGATGCAGGCAAAAAACCACCAAGCCGAGCCGAGCGGCGCGGCCCACCGGAACCGACGGCGTGCGTGCGGCGGTGCGGTGTCATCACGCGCACCCCACCTTCAGGAACTTGTCCTCGCCCTGGTCGTCGGACCAGGCGTCGGCGAGCCGCGCCGGCGCCGTTAGCGCAGCGGTGCGCTCGGCGCCGGCAGGCGGCGCCACCGCCGCGCCCGCCGGGACTGGCGCCCGACAGCAGCCGTTACACGCATCACACAGGCCCGACTCACCGGCCACACACCGGTGCAAGGACACAGCGGGACGCCGAAGGTTACATACAGGGTGAACCCCTCGCGAAGGTCCAAAACCAGTATTTCTCCAACTGATATCCCTGCAAACCTTTTCCGATGTTTTTTCAGCACAAACGAAGACAAACTCCTGTTAGTCATCACGTAACGGAAAAGCTATACAATGCTTTCTACGTTAAGCGAGAGTTCCGTTGGTATGCTATTTTGGCGACAGACACAACCCTATACATTAAGTATACACACAAGATGGTCCAGGATCACCAATCAACTGAGCCGGTAAGTGCGGAAGGCTACGGCCGCAGGCGCACTCACATGGTGGCGGCAGCTTGGTCTTGACCAGAGCAAGGTCGGGCAGCTTCCACTTTTGCTCGATCTCGTCCCAGATCGCCTGCTTCTTGATAGCCTCGATGTCGGCGTAGTTGCAGTCCTTGCGTATTGTGGGCTGCACGCGGTCCAACAGCTGCTGCAGCAGGCGCAGCGACTGGTCCTGGCGCCGGATCGTCTCCAGGTAGTCGTCGCGCTCCACGGCGAACTCGCGCTGTATGTCGCGCAGGTCCTGCTCCTGAGAGCGCAACTGGTGCCGGCCACACGCACCGTTACTGCCGCTGCCGACTGAGGCATGGCCACGCAGCCGCGGTAGCCTCACTGGCAGGTGAGGCCTCACCCGCTCCCACCGCTGGGCTCCATCAGATCACCAGGCTTGGACCACTGGTACGTCAGACATCCCAAAGGGTAACTTCTCAACAACTATCAAACGGAAGTGGTAACTGCATGCTTTGAGAACGTTTGGGAAGACCATAGCTTCCTCTGACACAAGCTGGCGACCATTTCTCTTTTTCATAAGCGCTGCAACCTCAACACTATAGCAGACCAAGACCAATGTCCAAAATACGAGAGGGTGTCGCCACCAGATCGACCACTTATCCCCCTGACTCACCTTGGCTTTCATCTTCTTGGCCAGCGCTGTACGCGCGTTGAGCGTCTTCTGAACATCGTCGTACGCCTTGACCAGGATCTCATCGTCCTCTTCGTCCTCGGCGAGGCTGCGTCCGATGGCCGCGGCGATCTCCTTGCGGCGCCGCTGCACCTCCTCGTTGGCCTTCTTGCGCTTCATCACGGCCTGCTTGTCGTTGGCTTGCTCGCCACCCACGATCTGGGTTTGCAGCGCCCGCAGTCTGGGGCCACACGGCCGTCATCTCATCACACCGTCCCACAGGCGGCCGTCGGCTCATCACACCGTCCCACAGACAGCCGTCAGCTCATCACACCGTCCCACAGACGGCGTCAGCTCATCACACCGTCCCACAGACGGCGTCAGCTCATCACACCGTCCCACAGACAGCCGTCAGCTCATCACACCGTCCCACAGACGGCCGTAATCTCATCAAACCATCCCACAGACGGCCGCCGTCTCATCACGCCGTCCCACAGACAGCCGTCACGTCAGCACACCGTCCCACGGACGGCCGTCAGCTCATCACACCGTCCCACAGACGGACGCCATCTTATCACACTGTTCCGCAGACGGCCGTCATCTTACCACACCGTCCAGCGGACGACCGTCACCTCATCGCAGTCTAACAGACAGCCGTCATCTCATCACGCTGTCCAACAGATGGCCGTCACGCCAGCACTCCCACCACAGACACTCGTCATGCCACCGCGCAAGCCCATTACATCAGTTGCTTTCAACACACGGCTACCGCATGCAGCAGCATCGCGTTTTCTAAACCGTACACCGTTTTCCCAAATTACTTACTTTTCGTAGACCTCTGGGTCGACGTTTTCGGGAATAGCTCCACCAGACATCATTGTCTTCTGTGCCTCAAGCTCTTCCTGCCAGCGAGACAGAGCCGTCAATAGCTGGGCCTCGCCCCGGCGATCACGGCTTCGCGGAGCCATGACTGCATGGCACCGGACATTGCCCATCCAGCACACCGCAGCACTGGACAGGCCGCGAGCTCCTCCATGGGTGGCGACCATGACGTGCTGATGTCGAATACTCCGCACGGATAGCTTGACGGGGGGCCGCTCCAGCTCATCAGCTGATCTTACCTCTGACCTGTTGTCAGACGGGAGCGTCGAGGCCTCGTGTGTCATGTAGGGCCGCCACTCGATTTACAACACAAAATCTACATCACGCTGAAAAATCGCCCTTGGCGTGTGGGCCATGAAACACTTAAGTATGAAGTACACGCTAATATAAATGAATAAGCTTTAATGGGCATGAAGAAGTGCTGGAGGGTGAGGAATGTTTGCGCTCGGCTCGCGGCTGGCGGGGGTGACAGGCTCTCCCCTGCTAGAAGTCCCACAGGGATGCAAGAATACGGAAACTGGGGTTGGAGCAGCGTGAATCAGGAAACGCAGGGTAGTCTGTATGTCGAAGTAGTGCTGCGATACCCTTTTTATCTCTTGATGCTCACAAATCGCCATACAGGTATTTTGGAAACAAAAAACAGGAACAATCACGTCCATAAACGCTTCAAAACGCTGAGCGTTGAGACTTTCGGCAGCGAAAACAGCTCTGTTGGGACAACTGGGGCATCCGAAGTCTAGAAGACTATAACAAGTGACGGATTAAATCAGTCGACTGTAAAAATCCCCAGAAACCATTTTCCTGAAACTATCTTCATGGGCACATTTCATTACCATTTAGAGGTATTTTGCCTAGTAGTGAATGGCCAGGTTTTGGCATGGTCAACCGCGTTGAGAACCACCATATTTGACATCACAACTTGATAATGATATGACGTGGAGTTTTTGAAAGTGAGCCTCCGACGTATTATAAGACAGGAATGATTTAACGATGCTGCCACTACCCTTTTCCCTTGATGTTGGACAAAATAGGTTGGGATGGCAACGGTGTGCAATTTCCGCGAGGGTTACGCATTATTACGTTTCGCCTTTTTTAATTACATGCGTGCCCTCCTCCACGACAATCGTTCAATTTACTTGTCAGAGAACAGCTCATGTGCTGTGGATGAGTCGGCACCAGTTACTTTAATTTCGAAAATAAGCCATCGCGGATGAGTGCAGCTCTTCTTACCTGGCAGTGTAACTATTGGGCAACCCCACGTGCCGCGAAGTGCTTCCAGTTTCCCATCAAGTTCTCAGGTTTGGATCTCAGAGTTTCTGGATGACACTCAACGACGTGACCGTCCTCCGTCGCTCATGATATGAATGACGTGAAGGACGGTGGCATAACCATTCGACATGAGTGTGCTGCAGTTCATATGCGCCTGCACTTTAAACCTGGCAAGTTAAGCTGAAGTGTAATGGGACTTAATTCAGCAACTAAACGTGTTACGAGATGTCTTGCATATCAACATGTGTGAAAAATCCCTCAGGATGCGTTGTGTTACGCCAGTCATGTTTGTACATCTCACCCGCATTTTACGTTCTCTTTCTTCAAACTCTTTTCTTATTTTGGCAGCTTGTGCTTCTAGCTCCTTTTTGCTGGGTGGTCCACCTCCAGAAGCTGCCTTCTGTTTTTCAAGATCCTTCTTCATCTGTTTCATCTGCGCCTCATACTCCCCCTTTAATTTCTCTCTTTCTCTCTGAATTGCCTCTTCGTCAACAACTGAAACACAACGATTCAGTAACTAGATGATGCAATGACGTATTGCACTTGTATGAAACTTCGGGAAGCCTGCACCATTCCGAACGACCCCGAACTAACTTAGTATAGCTCCACTGAGCCCAAGCATGTATAATCGCGTCCGTCAGCAGTGTCTGCAGTCTCCGGGCATTCCCAACTTTGCCTGCACACTGCCTGGTGCAACTTGATGACGTCACAAGTGTGAAAGAGGGACGACTCAATGGCCACGCATTGCCATAGTGTTTACGTTGTAAACAGCATTCATTCAACAGGAGTACATCTGAGTTCAAGGGGCTGAATCTAAACCCGAGTGAGATGGTCAAGGGCTGAAACGAGGAAAGCTCCCACCTGACCCGACCTGACCTAGCCCACAGCAGCAGCTCTACTTGACGCACTTCTCGCTGAGTCAGCACTGCAATATATATATATATATATATATATATAGATATAGATATAGATATAGATATATATATATATATATATATATATACATATATATGCACATCGAATCGCAAGCACGTGATGATAGCCTTCATGGGGTTCAATGATTGCTGCTAATTCTCAAGCAATGCACTCCCAACCGAAACATATTCAACCTAAACGAGTACGCAAATCCACCCGAAATGAACCAAAATGAGCGTGACCCACTCCACAGAACACAACCTATAATGCACGGCAACACCCAAAACTATCTCTTTCACAGCATGCATTTTACTAATAAATGAGGCCTTCCATCCTGGTTGAAACTTGAATGCAAACTGGTGCATTCTGGTGAGTTCCATTCTGGTGCATTCCAAACTGGTGAGTCAAGTTCGAAGCCGATTAAGTAGTAAAACGGATGGATTCCCTTGAGTTTAAGCGCAAAAGGTCATCAATCCGAGTATGAGTCCGAATCAGACAAGACCAGGGCCCAAGCTGTTCCCTGGACATAGAAGCGCAACTTGACATGCCGTTCAGATCTGCCGACAAAAGGCTGCCGTTCAAGACATGCGCCGGTTTTCACTCAGTTCATACTCACAAGGCTCCCAAGATAGTCCTAAACAAAATCCACATGATGACGGCCGCGTTTTTACAAACCGCTCCCTATCTTAGTGTACCGTGGCGTGTGACAGCTCACGCATTTAGGCTGTCAAATGTACTGACGGCAATCGGCTTCTGTCACGCAAGGGGTGATTGCCAGACCCAGGAAGGGGGCCAGCCAGGCGCACTGCAAGCCGCCCCATAATCACAGACTGTCAACATTAAACCCACTTTGGAAATGGGTACTGCAAGCTGTCTGAAACAGGCGTACGATGAGAGCTAACGGTAATAAGGCAAAGCTAAGTCGCTTTTGCTAAAACTTAAACTACTTGCTAACTGTTTAAGCTAAGTGCGATAACCTTCTTACTACTAAGCACATTATCTCAGCACAACTGCGTGCGTTTTTGCGGACGAGGTACACACCTTTTTGGACTTTGACTTGCGCCGGCCCGCCCGCCGTCTCCAGCTGCTCCTTCAGCTTCTTGATCTCGGCGGCGTACTCCCTGAGCAGGGTGTCCTTGGGGTCCTCGTTGATCTTGGGCTTGTTCTTGATCTGCTTGGCTCTGTTAGCGTAGCGCAGCGTGCTCAGTGTCTCGTCGTAGTTGTTGTCGGCCGGCGAGAGACAGGCCACCATCATGGTCTTGGTGTTGCCTCCGAGCGAGTCCTGCCGGCGGCCGACGAGCTGCTGTCTCCGGCTCTGTCTGCTACAAACTACAGCTCATCGCCACGCTCTGCGAACTGCTGAACACGGCCAGCGGACAGCGGCTGCTCTCTCCCGCTTGGGAATATTTCCTAGTCGTGCCACGTGGGACCCATGGCGCCACAGCTTCCGACAGCGACTGTAACGGCGGCGAACTGGCCCAGGCAGCAGGCTACGGCTGGGAAATAACCTCTGGGTTCGTCCAGCGCCCTAATCGTACTCTAGATTTAAAAATACAAATATAATTACGAATACTTTCACTTCATTCTGCCTGATTATACACAAAATCAATGACACTAATGCATTACACTTTTTCAAGACAACGGGATGCACGTCGTCAAGCCCCTTTTACTGAGCGCCAGCGACTACATGAGCCATGTTTACGCTCGAAGGCTATGACACGATCGGGATTCGAACCTGGCTTCCCTACATGGCATCCGACACACTAATTACTCTGCCAGTATGCCCCCTGGTCCTCAATGCAATTCGCTAATAGAACATCATATGTGCACCGTGCGATAGCAACTGCGCAATTGCGTGCAGCAGAATAAATCACTAAGTCTACACAATCACACTAATTGCTTAAAACATCGTTTTCAATGGGAAGTACAAAGCACATGATTTTTACGGGATTAGCTTCGCCGCAAAAACATGTCTTCGCCGCGCGCGCAGAACACTGCAGCGCCTGCTAAGCTCGCTTTCCCCAGAAACTTGTCCACCGCAGTGAAATGCTTCAGTTTGAGGCATTTGATTCCGTCATGAGACCCGCGTGTGGCCTGGCACCACCACTCGTAATAGATCGCCACAGTCTTTTGTCCCACAGGAACACAGCGAGGTTAGCAGAAACAGAAAGCACAAAGAGTGTAATGCTTTCATGGCCCAGTACTTTTTGGGGGTGAAAGCTGCTTCCAGAGCTGCGTTTTCCTTCTTCTTAAATAACCAATTGACGAACTCTGAAACGCATGCTTTCAGCCCCAAGCGAAGCATTACTACAGGAATGTTGTCACTGTTGGAATGCCTAGTCCAGACGACCTCGCCACATTGTTTTGGGCAACTGCCCTACCGTGCCGGAGAGTAAAACCAAGAGTGCTGCAGTACATAAAAGCATCACCGTCCTCAAATGAGCCATTGCTAAAGCCAAAACTCAATGGAAATTTGAGGCGCAAGGAGCGAAAGCGTAACAAGAGATGTTACATAAGAAGCAAGCAGCAAACAAGTGATGGCGCAAGTTGGTATGCATTGAACTAAAAACAACGTTTGGTGGCAGGCGCAATCTCAATTCCAGTAAGGTTACAATGACTTGAAGTGAGCAGTACACAACAAAATGAACACTAAAATAGGCTAAATTAAAACACCTCGTTGCGTGCCACACGGAAATCTACTAGGCGTTTACGGGATGCTCCAGCACGATCTGTGCCTGTGGCCATTTGTCACGCTGCTGCGGCGAAAAGTTCGCTTCACTGCAGCCAAGTGGCGACAGCGAGCCGCCGGCGCCAGCACCTGCAGCAGTCGGGTGAGTTTGGAGTCTCGATACGGGATGTGTTTGCTCTTGCCGTCCACCAGGGCTGAGATGACGTTACCCAGCGCTGACAGCGACAGGTTGATCTTGGTGGCCTCTTTCAGGCGCTCCCCGGTGGCGCCTGGCGGCCAGCGCGCGCACAAGCGTTAACGCCGGTTCTGGTGCCGGCGAGGACATGGTGTACAGGACATCGTTGCCACAGTAAAACGGCTCTCCCGGAATAGCGTGCATTCAGCCGCGGGCTACAGACCCGTACGTACCGGTCTTTCCCTGTCGCTCGGAGCCGGCCAAATCCACCAGGTTGAGCTTGCCCGCCCTGATGTTGTCCTTCGCGCCCGGCTTCTTGGAGGGTGTGATCATCTCGATGAAGATGGTGAAGATGGAGTGCGACCGGGACGAGTCCTTGTTCATCAGGGTGGCACCCGTAGACCGGTTCTTCCATCCCTTCTCCATGAGTTTCTCGCACTCCCTCGTGTTGGCCACCGGGTGCTTGGTTAGGTCCTGCACGTACACGCCCTTCTCAGGGTGTTCCTTCAGATCGAGCTTTTTCTTGCTGTCTGCACCCAACAAGTCTCGAATCTCCTCATTGTAGATCTCCAGGTAGGATCCGTGCACCTGTGGAACAAGTCACGCTTGAGGAGCCATAGTAGTAGTTTTTACGTAGGATTACGGTGCAAGACGTTTTAAATATTTTCTAACGACTTTTCACCGGTTATTTATGGCCACACGCCTTTTATCCGCGATTTTAAGCTGAAAATGTTTCGCAGAGATGTTAAAACACATTTGCCAGGACGCATAATTTGATAACATCGCAGGTACGTGGCTATAAGCAAGATCATGCTATTGCGGACAGGTATGATACCATGTCTCTTCCTACCAAAACCTTTCAAAACTTAGCATGGCATCTCTGACGCAGACGCGACAAAACAAACTCCTACATCATTGTAGCGTCCCTATTCATAGGTATGCAGTACTTACGGAGCTGATAGAAGGTGTGTGGTTAAACAATAAACGCTGAGGTTTTTTTAAACCTTTAAAAGTTTTGCACCGTAATCCCTCGTGAAAACGGTTATTGTGTAACATCTGCTCCACGTAACGCAGCATAGCCTCAGGTCTACACCTAAAAAGCACCATGTCTGATGGTGCTAAGGTTTAATCGCCAGAACTGCATAGCGTAAATAATTGGTCTTGTCGCCGCTGTGCTTGGCGCTGCTGGAGCACAGCACTTACCAGGTACTTGGTATCCTCGGCGGTGGCGGTGACGTCGAATATATGCTCGAAGGCCCTCGGAATCAGGCCCACCTGTGTGGGCGGATCTGGAATGCCCTGCATAGTGAAGGACTTGCCACAGCCGGTCTGGCCGTAGGCGAATATGGTGCCGTTGTAGCCCTCCAGCGAGCCCTCCACCAGCGGGTACGCCATATCCTTGTAGATGTTCTCCGTAATGGAGTCCAAGTAGTACACGCCGTCGAATGTGAACTCCTTGGGCGGCGTGTTCTTGTCGGCCGGGTTGGAGATGCTGACCTGCATGACGCTCGGGTCCATGAACACCACCACCTGTCGCAGGCAGACACAGCGCGCGTCGGACAGGACCTAGCGCTCAGCACTGGGATACAAAGTCGAGCACACTTGAGTTAAAAGCCCGTTCGCACCCTGCGCGTTGGCGCCATAATCCGCTGCATGCTCCGCAGACGTCAGCTCTTGCGGGCTAGAGGTGTCACTTTTAAGCCGCAGGTAGGAAAATCGCTAAAAAAACATCTCAAAGTGGCCAACCTCTAGTTGGCAAAATCTTAGGATCACAGCTTCTGCCGCGGTTTCTACAAACTTCGGCGGCTGCGGACTACGAACGCCACTTTTGAGCCCTTTTTACCCGCACTTCGCTGGTCTGCGGGCTGAAATGTGACGTCTCCAGTCCTCAAGAGGTGACATCTGCCCAGCTGCAGCGGATTCTACGCCCAGCTCGCAGGGTGTGAATAGGCCCCAATCCAATTTAATGAGCGCGGCGTCCGCCAAAAGGTGTCATCACAATGGGCTAAACAAATGCGGATCAGCCAGGACTCTACAAACACTGACTTTGCGTGCAATCTAATTGTATTGTGATTTTGCTCCTTGTTGTAAACATCGCTTCCGAGACCGACGATCGTGTATCAAGTAAAGATTGCTAGCTATGAAGCAAATGTCCCTGTTATGAAATTCGAAATAGCCAAAGCACCAGAGGCCAGGCAAGTGGTTTCTAAACGAAAGCTTTCATGCGTGCAAGACAGCAATGCGCAGCCGCTGTCCACCAGGCCAGTCTTTAATGTTTGGCACAATCACGTACAAGTGTGCAAATTGGCTGCCTACTGTCGGATTACACGAAGCCCTTCGTCGTTCTCCTCAACGGTAAATGAACAGCATGTTCAGAAGAAATTTCACCTGCATGTTTAAATTCCAAGAAGCGTCAGCCTGACATTTCGCGTATCCTGTACCTTGTTTGAATGATAAAAAACATCTGCAGCCAGAAACGGTGGCTTAGATTCATCCACGGCCATCAACATCACACTCAATGTGTCGGCATTATATTTTTGTCATTTCAAGAACGGGGCTCCGTGAAAAGGATTATGGCATGGTCTACATGCACCCACGGACCACAGGGACCCCACCACACACTTGTGCCTATTCACATAGCTGGATACGGCACGCACGATATTTAGTTTCGTTCACCTCATACGGGAAATACACTCTCCGGGAAACCGACATTGGCTGTGCGCCTGCACCTGACTATGGTACCGATTGGTGCGCGCGCCGTGCCACCGACCGACCGCCGCGGCCGTAGGCGGCTGTGGCTAGTGATATTGACCTGGCCGGTTCTCAATAACAGTGATCGATGCCGCGACCATAGGTCACGTCAGCACGGCCATCACCGGCCCGCGCGTCATAATGACACGCCAGGGGCGGCCGGCCGGCGCTCAACACACGCCAGTACACACGTGGATACGTATCTCACAAGGACACCGCCACCCAGCGGTCAATACTGATGATGAATATACACACAGAGTGATATCTTATAATATCATTGCCACCCGGAATTGGCACAAACATTGCACACTAAGAGCATAACTTCATAATCGCCACAGTCCAGTTGGCCGCGAAGTGACGCAGCACGCGAGCTTCAAGCGTAGCCTGAGCGCATCAACTGTTACAAACATGAGCAAATTTATGCGTTAATCATTCGTAGCCAGCTTACTTTGAGTGCATCACTAGACTGCAATTTGATCCTCGCTGGAGGAAGAACATTTGGCATGCCGTGATTAATACCATGTCGAGCAGGAGCAACTCCCTCCTACGCCAGGCGAGAGACGAGGAGCATCCCTCGCCATTTAACCCAGAATTAACCTGCAGGTATCCACGAAAACTTCAGGGTGTAATAATTTTGGCAAATCCGGCTATCTTCTACGACTCGTTTGGCTCATGCAAGCCACGTAGTAATGCACTGGGTAGTTCGCTGTGTGGCTGCAAACACAAAGCGCATAAATGAAATTTCGGCCTCGGCGTTTTCCTAGGAAAATATTTGCAACACCATGATGTAAACGTGACTGAGACTCAGACTGTCGTTTTAAGCCAATTTAAGGCCAAATATGATCATCACAATGCTGTGAGCTGTGAACTTTAAAGGGCTAGTGATTTAGCAGGGGTGACTTGGGTTCTTGGGGCTCCTTTGCTCCACGGATTGTCTACCTCTTTTCTCCTGTTGGCAAGACCATGCATTAGCTCAGCTGAGCCCAGCTGACCACCTTGCCAACAGACCAAGTGATATTTGAAGTGGGCGTTAACCGCTAACGCTTCAGTCCAACAAGCACATCTTTGCGAACACTACGCATCATGCAGAATGGTAAGTTGGCATCTTAAGCGGCACCTCTCCTCTGGAAATATTTTCGTTTCCGCTGGATTGAATCAGATCGTACTGCACATATCACACGCCAAGCCATCTTGCTGTTTACGCCACGGCTCAGTCCTTTCTTGGAAGCGGGCCTCGCGCTGCGTGCCGTGACTGTCCCGCCGGACCATCAGCGCCCAGTGCCGCGCTTGGGTCGCGCACAGGGGGGTGGGGGTGGGGGGGGGGGGGGGGGGCATGACAGTAAATCTGAGGCGTCGTGATTAGGCCCGGCGCTCGGCCACCGGCAGTGGAAAACATTTAGGCTAACGCTACCGCTGTGCTGGCGTGGGACGAAATCAAACGACATGCATCTTAGCCCGCTCCCAATCGCTTAGCCCAAGTTCTCTTGGTCATGCCGATGAAGGCAAAGGCGAAATGACACATGCTCACGCACCCCGATGCAATGTAGCCGTAACGCTGACATCGGTGCAATGAACATTCTACTCTGGAAACAGATTTTCCCCGCGTTGGCGGCTAAACGCTGCAGGTTCTGGTGGGAGAAACACCCACGCGTTTTTACCATGGAAAGGGAGAGGCACCATTACCACTCCACAGGAGTCAGGTACCCTTCGCTCAGGTGTTAGCTCATCTACGTTACTCCCAGCACGGAGTATACCCATTACATCTACACTAGCGCCAGCATATATCTTTAACGTCTTTTATTCATCTGTTTGCTTACAGGTGGTGAGTGAATTCCCCCCGGCATGCAGTGAACCCATTACACGTGCCTCCCCCTCCCGTGGGTAACACATTAAGATGCTCCCAGCTTGAAGCATTATCCTTCCATTAGGGGCAAAAACTTATGCACCTCGCTCGCCAGTCGTCTGCAAAGGTCATGGGCGCAGGGTCACCAGCCGGCCGCTGCGCCCGCTCACATTCACCATGCATGCTGTTTGCGCTACCGGAAATCGATAGCCGGCGCCGATACAGACGCGCCGTGTCGCCCTGTGACAATCGGACCGCGGCACGCTGCCCCGCGCCGCCGCCGCCGCCGCCGGCCGCGCACCAGGCCGCGCACCGCCGACCGACCGCAGCGACCGGCCACGTGCGTGTCCACCGCGCCGTGGCACAGATCGCGATTGTGACAATCAGCCGAACGCGTGTATGTGCGTGGGAGTGTGTCAAAGCCCGATGCTATCTTGATACACGACGGCTGTGGTTCACATTTTCGGTAATTTCGAACATCCTAGGGAGAAAATAACTAGCAGGAACGATACGGGTGCTACGTTTGGTCAGCCAGTGCTTAACCAAGCATACGTTAAAGGGAGCATACCGTGTTTATATGATATCGCATACAAATATCACACACTTTGTGTATTTGTATTAAACAAATACTGCCATCTCATTGGTCATGTAGTGTTCTAAGCCAAAGCAGTTATTATCATCGAGTTTTTCGTGTCTGGCGTGCGTCTGCGCGACAGCTGAGATAAACATTTTGAAAATCATTCAGTGCAGTTCACAGCCATGCCCTTTTAAGACTTCAAACCCTCTGGCTTCTAAGCTTGACGCCCGCGAACTTGCGCATACTTTTTCAAGGCCACACAAGCATGCATAACGCCATTGAAACGTCACGCAAATAATGCCACCTCATTGGCAATGCAGTGCTCTAGGCCAACACAGATACTGCCATCGAATTGGTCGTGTCTGGCGTGCGTCAGCACGATTCCTGGCATCTACGGACTTCAGTTAGCCATCAAGCAGTGGGATGCGCTCAGAACAACTTTCGAATACGGCTTGGTTTTTTGGATCAGAGCCAATTCAACCAGTCATGATCATTTCAGGGCTATGGGATGACGGTGAATGGATAACAGTTGGGCAGGGTTGGAGATTGTCCTTAAGCGGTTTACGGCCCACCAAAGCAAGGTAGCGTCCAGCAACCACCTTCAGTGCTTTCACAAGGCACAAGAGCTCCTACAAGAGGATTTGGGAAATTGTTGCAAAAGTCTGCTGAATGTTATTCAGTGTTATCGCAAGACACAAGAGCTCCTTATGAATAATTCTGGAGCTCGTTGCAAAATGTTGCATAATGTTGCAGGACACGTAAAGGGTAAAGGTAGGGCCTAAAACCACCTTCATTGTCCTTGCAAGGCACAACAGCTCCTAAAGGAGACGATAGGAAATTGTTGCAAAGGGATACAGGGTGTTGCAAATGCGGTTTACAGCCATATCAGGCAAGGTAGCGCCTCAATATCACTACCATTATTTTCAATGGGATGAAGGGCCTCCTAAGAAGCAAAAGTGCGAAAATTGCAACATTGGTGCACGCACCCCGTTGCAATGCTACAATCCTTCCTTTAAAAAGTTACCTGCAGCGCCTCACCAGCCGTCAGTTGCATCAGACAGCTCCTGGGTCGCAAGGCGAGCCCACGCTGATTGGTGAAGCCGACCATCGTACGATGTCACACTCGCTTCTCATTGGTTAATAATCGCACAATTCCGTGGCACGTATTCATGGCTTGTTTTCGATTGGAGCTCGTATACAAGGTCAACCGTTTGTTACCATCCATGCTCACCCGCTCAATGACTCGAAGACGCAAGGCCGCTGTTGGTTGTGCACTTGGACATTGGGGTTGTAATGAGTGCTGGTGAGTTAAGTTACTGGCGAATAGAAGCTATGGACTGACAAGATTTACTTTGCCTACCTCGCAACAAGGACTGGCACGGGCGTGATCGTCTCTAGTCTGATACGTAAGCAGTTAGAAATCTGCTACACAGGTTCTAAGTAAAGCCATGTTCGTGGGGTCATGAATTGAAACAGATAAAATAGGGCTCTTCAAATAGTTGTAACAACCACCACCCAGCACGCATACGCACAAGAGGGAGGGAAAGGGACGAGCGGTCGTCGACCGACTTCTGTTAAGGTCGTCAGAGATTCACCCGATGTTGCTGCGACGAAAAGCGGCTTGCAGTGAGGTTTGTCTCCCATGACTTACATACGTACATAGTGTCAAAGGGAACGCTTCACATTTGAAGATATGGAAGCAGACATCATATATGATGAAACAAGCTCACTTTTAACTTTTGGTGCCCTTTTTAAGTGGAGAAGACTGCTCTAAACAGCATAATTCTCTGGTTCCAACTGACGGCCGTAATAGCTGGAATTCGCGCTCATGAACGTCACATAGGAATGCCTTTACAATTATATTATTGTTGGCCTTGACCGACGCATGGCTTATGGAATGGCAGGATTTTAATTACTGGTATGACGTCATGAATACCAAGGTGACTTCGAAATACTCTCCACGATATACCTTTCCCTATTTTGGCGGGCGTGTAGCTCAGAAACTAAAGAGTCTTAGGTGTTAAGAAGGGCAGGACTGTGAACAGCACCGAAAGGTCTTCAAGATGGCTATTTCAGCTGGAAACTCCACATAAATGTGAAGTGCTCCCTTTAAGCACATCACACCCGATTTCCGTCAGGCATCCCGGCAGCCAATATCGGATCGGCCAGAAAATAATACGAACGATGTTGAATGGATCGGTAGGTTATGCAAACACAAGTCGTTCATAGACAGCGACAGGTCTTTTCATGCATTTCCAAGGCCAGCTCTGTCGCTTAATTAAGCAAGCCAACAAGCGATTGTTATTACCTATCAACTTGCCTAGGGCACACATAAATTTCTTGACAACCGTGACAACTGTGTCCGGGTCAGGAAAAAAAGAAGATAAAATAGCTTTGGATTCTACCCTGTTTCCTTCACCGCCTATTTGTCATAATAATTTGAAATTTGATTTTGAAGGACTGGAAACCTCGTCGAGGTGAGTCGAATATTGCTTGTTTTCTTTGGAACCAGCCCAATAGGTTTCAAGGTCTCAGGGGAAAGGGGGACCTCCCCTTTCCGAGATTGGGGTGAAGGGAGTTCGCCTGAAATAGGGTCAAAAGCAAAGTCACGTCAGGCCCAGGCTTGGAATCTGCCCAATGGACGGTAAGGGGACCATTCACAGTATTAATGTTATTGTGGCGTACGAACGCTCTACTTACAAGCTCACAAAGAGTCAAATGACTGGAAACCTCGTCGAGGTGAGTCGAATATTGCTTGTTTTCTTTGGAACCAGCCCATTAGGTTTCAAGGTCTCAGGGGAAAGGGGGACCTCCCTTTCCGAGATTGGGGTGACGGGGAGTTCGCCTGAAATAGGGTCAAGAGCAAAGTCACGTCAGGCCCAGGCTTGGAATCTGCCCAATGGCCGGTAAGGGGACCATTCACAGTATTAATGCTATTGTGGCGTACGAACGCTCTACTTACAAGCTCACAAAGAGTCAAATTTATCTGCGGTCGCAAAATGACTTAAGATGGCCCAAGTTACCCAATGAAATGAAATCGTGGTATTTTGGCCTCATCGGCTGTACATTTACCATAAAGCTGCATGGCTGGCAACACTTTCGGTCGATCCCGTTTCACCCCGCAAATGAGATATAATATATAGAAAATGAAAAATCATAAGTGAAAAATAAATGAATGATAAAAATATATGGGTAAATCAGAAAATCACGTAAAGACCCGTTCATTTTCATTTTTACTCTCGAACGCATGGTGAACGGGCAGCAGGCACAGCACATATGGTATAGGCACGCAGCGTACGCAGCTTATGGTGGTGATATCAACGAAGCTGGCGGGGTTACAGATGGCCAACTTGTTAGAAGTTGGAACGGTCGGACAGGCACGAGGCGGCCATGCTTTAGTTCGATTAAATGTCTAGCAGGGATCGCTCCGGGGTCACGATCCTGGCTAAACCTTATATACATTGTAGGTACAAGCAGTGTAAGCACGCTAAGCATTGTTTGTGCAGGAGACCTGATCGCAAATCCCAGTAAAGTAGCTAAATAGACCATTTTTGCGTGACGAATTTTACGCACCGGGTAACGTAGTGACAAGACCGCCCCTTACCAGCACGACCGTCGCTGCCAGGTTTGAAATCACGTCTTCGAAAAGTTACGTGAATGGTGTTTTTGGACGGCGAAGTGCCATGCTCAGCGCACATTGGCCACATTTCTAGTGTTCTACCAACTGAGCTATGAACACCACAAAGGAGCTTTGCGACTGCTTAACTAACATCCAGGCCCAGAACCACTGTTCGCTCAACTGCAATCGCTCTGCGGGGCCTGTTCGTTTAACCGCAATCGCTCTGCGCGGTCTAGTCCGTTTAACTGCAATCGCTCTGCGCGGTCTGCCCGTTTAACTGCAATCGTTCTCTTAGGTTAATAGCATCATGTCAGTCCATAGCAGGACTGTGTGGCCACCTCACTCACCTCGCAGTTGAGTCCCTTCTCTCGAGAGTTCATCGGCCGACATCGTACCAGCACCTTGACGGTCTCGGCCATTCTGCGCAGCCATACAACCTGCAGACAGACGCGGGTCACGACAGGGCGACGTATTCCTCTCAGGTCTTAGTGCGCCCCCTGGCGACCTTCCAATCACTTGCATGGAAAGTGATTGGATCTGACAACGGTGACCTTGGAACAAAGTCTGGATGGAAAAAGTACATATGTATAACGTATATGCGCAACTGTCGTAAACAAAGGTGCGTGAGATATAAACATGTATGGCAGAAGAACGTACGCATACGTTGGGACGCAAACGTTCGTAAGGTAAAAAGTGCAAATAGGAAATGTTAAGTACGGTTGGCATTAAGTACACATGGAAAATGTTGGCATCGGTAAAAGTTCATCAGAAGAAAATTCGTCTGGAAAAGTTCGCATGTATAAAGTACTTAAACAATTATTCGTGAGCAATTGTGCGCCTTCGCAACGGGGAAAGTTGGTTTGACCAACTATGTGCGCAAAAGTTCGTGAGCCGCATAGGCGTAGGAACGGGAGTCCGTGGGTGCACATCACCTTCCGAGAATGCTTAATATTAGGCCTACAACGATCCACTGCGAACATTGACTTTCGGATGCTCGCTGATACTTCGATGGGTTCCAAGCCAATGACGATACGTTGCCAGAATTGACTTCGGGATGCAACGCAAACGCTGCATTCAGATACCAAGACCCAATGTACAGGGCCCCGAACAATCAAATGTGCTCGAGCAGGTTAACACATGGAGCCCCCGACAGGAGCATAGGGCCCTCGAAATTATAAACATCCACGACAAGTGTGGGGGGCCCCCGAACAGACCAGTGTGCCCGAGCAGGTAACATGGGGGTCCGGACCAAGGCGTAGAGCCCTAACCAAGTGGCAAAGAACGGAAAAGGCACTAGACCAATGTAGAGGGCCCACGGGTTTATCGTGGGCGTGTCGGTAAGTTGACCGAGACCAACGTGAAGGGCTCCTGAAAAAACGGTAATATCCCGGCAGGTTCATGTACGAAACCCGGCTACAGCGTGTAAAGCCTTTCGGCAACTGAAAAAAATCCGTGGAAGGCCCCTGATTGACAAGGGCCTCGGTGAGCTAGCGGGAAGGGCCTCAGCAACATAGCAGGGCCCTGCGAGCAAATGCGAAGAAATCCAAGGACAACGTAGTAGGCTCCTTAACGATCGAATCGACCTTGCAAGTGGACATATAGGTCCCCGGAAACGGCAGTAATGGGCCCTAAAACCTCTCAATCACCGCCCTCTCAGTCAGTGAAGATGAGTTTGTGTCTACTCGTGGGCTACTGTACACTTCCAGTTGTAACAGTTTTTGGCCTCCTAGAAGCCTAAAGACGTCTAATTCTGTGGCGTCTGTGCAAGAACTGCGTCTGTTCGGTCACCTATAGGCCCCTTTGGAGCCTATGGGCCCCTTCAGGAACCAAGGTGGGGCTGGGGCCATGACCCTGTGCCCGCCCCCCCCCCCTCTGGATTCGCCCATGAGTGGGCCATACCTTTCAGTACAGTTGAGCTGGCAAGTCCGGAAGAGGCAGCAATCAGCTGATTTGAAGAACTGCTTGATTTCTAGGACCTATCCAATACGGCATGGCTGCAAACTTGTTACTCGCCGCAGGGTTTCATCGTTTGTACTTGTGGATGTGTGCCGCGGCCTTTCGAATCTGTAAACTGCCGCACAATGCTTGAGCGGGCTCAGCGTTCCTTTCAGCTAGCATCGAGCATGAACACCCATTTCTGCAAAGGCATATGAGCTTAGCCAAAAGTACATGAAACTTCTCACTTGGCAATTACCAGACTCCGCTCCAGCAAAATCCATTCCGAATTAGACTCACAGCACAAGGAGATCATTCCGACTCTGACCCCGTGCAGTATAGAATAACACCTAGTGGATCCAGACTCCAACGCAGTGAGATATGACTTACCTCAGTTCGTAAACACCTCAGACACAGCCGATTCTAATGACTGGCAATTGGTGACTACTGACTGATACCTATGACAATTCGGGTGACGTCGCCGCCGTGGAGTACCGACTGATCACCTCGGTTGCTGAAAGGTCGGATGTAGGTTTTCACCTTAAACCCTTTTTCAGCCAACCCTGAATCACAAATTTGAATTGGAGGTGAGGGGGATGGGGGCATTGTCCCTTGAATCCCGATCCGGCTAATCCGCTGGCAAGGTCTTATGCATCAGAGTAATTTAACAGTGTTTGGCATGAAGGGACTTACCGTTCAGAAAGCTCAGTTGACACAGATAATTAGGCAGGTAAATGCAACTGCAGTTTTACACAGATACGTCCATACGGAAATTTTCTTCGCTTGCCGATGATACCCCAAACACGCCGCTAACCCGAATGATCGTTGTCACGTGGATTTCGACCAAAACAAACTGTTGCTATGCATAGTGCTGCCATCTAGTTGCAGGTGATGAACCATAGCTTTTTAAGATTTATAGCTGGCAGCACATTCCGCTTCTACCGAAATTCGAAAAAAAAACTTTCATTTCTTTTCCATTCGGTTTGTTGCTAAAACAGTCCATTTTCATTCTGTTGGGTGGTACACTGCCCCTCCCATTTCCAATTTTTCCTCCCAACGGTGAGTTTGTTACCCAAAACCTTTTGGCGCCTAAGTGCAAGCAGGGCATTAAACATGGAAGATCATGATTTTGTCAATTGTCAAGAAAGCTCTTACTGACTGTTTCACAGCAAAAGGAACAAAGAAAACGAGAACTGTGATGCCATTTTCAGTTAAGTGCCGGTCACCGAGCAAGTTGCACTTTTAAAGCCCCTCGCTCATACCGCGTTTTATTGGGCATTTGTGTTTTTTCTGCGTGATGCATGATTATAGTTACGCGATTAACAAGTCTTGTTGACTTTGATCTATTTTTTGCGATTGTGCGGGCGTTTTGGAATTGATCAGCAATGTTTGAAGTTCTATAGGCTGCAGCAAGTTGCGATATTTTTCCATGATATCTCGTCGAAAAATGAACACAACACAGCACAGGTCCACAGGGCTGGAGCAGTAATCAACACGACTGGTCGAATATTAGAACACAAAAACGGGACCAAGTTATTATTCATCTACATCGTCATATATCATATGATATATTCAGGACATTATTCAAGACACCATTCACAGTCATATCTTTTCTCTAGCCTCCTGTTTATTCTCTGCGGAATAAAGCTTTCAATACCGTCTCATCTATATGCATAATGTTCTCACAAATGCATTTCTAAACTTACGTACATACGGAAGAAACCTTGGAATGTGTCTGTCCCAAGTTCGACGCGAATATTCGATGGAACAGATATGACAACCTGACGATCGACACCTGCAGATTTAAACGGTAGCGACAATCGCCCGACAATGACCACCAAAACAACACTAACCGTATCGAACATGCCTAACGTGAGTGCTGAGTTGCAGCCCGTGTCCCACCTCGCGGCCACCAAGCTGTGAATTCCCGTGTTAACCTTGAATAATCCCACACACGAACTTGCACTCCTCACACCCGAAGCCGCACATGTTCAACAAGCGCCTGGAGACACATAAAATCGACTCTATATCGATTGTCGAATTCTGATTTCGACGATCACGCCAAAAGTGGTAATGATACCCAACGACAACATTTTCCGCTGGGACAGAGCGAGGAAGGTTATAAGAGCAGGACTGTAGATCCACATTCAGCTGGGTGGAAATCTAACTCCATTACGATGGGAGGAGAGGGTCAAATCCAGGGAGAAACCTGTTCTTTAGCCTTCAAGGCTAAGTTTTTCCCGCTCAGTCCGAAGCCCTTTTTTGCAAAACTACACCGCTGTGGTCAAGGCTTAATGAACGTGACACGTGACGAATTGATCACTAGAGTCGTCAGGCCTGGGCCTCAGGGCCCATTACCAAAGCAGTGGCAAAGCCCTGGCCCGTGATTTACATCGGTTGGTAACCATTAGACAATGAGGGGCCCACTGTGTCGGTCTGGGGACTACCTTACCTATCAAGGGTTCTGTATGGCAAGGCCTGGGGCAGCGTTCGAGGAGGCCCGCAGAGGAGCTCAGGGCCCATCAGGACTGGTGATCAAGCACCCATTTCGAGGGAATTAATTGCTGGCTATAGGCTACATAAGCGCCCCGGCACGCAGCGCCGGGCCCTTAAACGTCAGTCAGAGGGCCTGTTGCACCGGTTGGAGACACCCTGGGACAATGCGGGCCTCTATTTCAGTCAGAGACCACGAGCACCGAACAGCCGGCTCCCTGTCGGTCTGAGCCCTGGGCACCCAATACCCGAGCAGAGACAGGATCGGACCCGCGGTTATCATTGGTCGGCGTGCAGAGACAGGATCGGACCCGCGGTTATCATTGGTCGGCACCCATGAAACAGTGAATGGATACATGTGTACCCCTGGACAGATGCATTTCCAAAATACAAAGGAAAACAAGGTACATACAGTGTGACATCACGCCTTCAAGTGAGACTTAACGTAAAAATCAAAACTTTTTGTACAAAATGTGTCACAAAAGTGTCCTCGGAGGCGGGCTATCCCGCAACCCAAGCACATGGATCGATTATAAGGTTTACGATAAGACGTGGAAAGATCGGGTTTTCAGACTGAAGCATGTCTGACAACCCGATCATGGCAGAAGGGAGTGTAAATAAAACCGAGACGCATAATGGCAGAACGCTGGTATTTTGCTATAAATTGGACGAAGCAGAATGAATTTCGTACCTACACCCTTACGGTAACTTCCAAGACTCTGGCCCCTCCCCCATCACTTCATTTAACCACCTCACCAAATGTAGAATACCCTCTTTAATCTCTGGTTCATTCATATAATTCGCTTCCAAATGCAAGCAGAACTGTGCCCTCTGATAGTTTCTGGCTTTTCTCTCTTTGCCTTGCTACAAAGGCAACAACCCACAAAAAAAGCTCAGTGTCCCAAAATGCGGTGGACCAAATCCGCGGAGCTCTCTCGAGGGGTCATCTTTTGACTATCAGGGGATCTTCGTGAAACGCTAGTCATGTGAATTTGTGACAATTCCTGCGAAACAGCCAGATATCTAGTATAAACCTATTTTGTACCCAATCGTCTTCAGAACGCAACCATAAGTGGAGAACAAGTGGAGAAACATTTTGATATCAGTGTGAGCGGGTGGTAAATCCGTAAAGCCGATGTGGAAAATTCACACCAATGGAAACTTATACTAATCTCTGAATGAGCATAATTCGTGTTCTAAATGGTCACACATCCAATCTGTTTTCGTTAAAAACAGTGATCCATTTGTAACAAAAAATAATTTTTTGAAATCTTTAGCCTGAATTGTGTGCAGAATGAAGTGATTTTCTCGGAGTCCGCTGTTAAATAGATAGAAATAGGCATTAGGTATCATCAAATGAAAAATGCATTATTACACTTCACCTTTCTTAAAAGCAACGATACTGAACCTATGTTGTAGAGCTACTTTGTGGAAACAGTGCAGTAAAAGTAATGCTTCGGTTGGGTTGAATTAGATTGGTGGATTTTTGTGAATTTTTATTGCCAAAATGCAAAAAAGTGCAGAGTTTTTCACATTTACACTTGCATTTTCATCCCCATCCCATTTACATCCGATCAAACCGTCCCTAGAAAAGTCCCTGGGAGCTAGAACACTAAACTTCATTGCACCAGAAGACATGTAACAAGGAGTGACTCTAGCTCGCATTTGCATTAACCACAGCAAGTTTACAAAGGTACATAACTTATTGTAAACTTCCCCTACATTGCCAGCGGTGCCACCGGCATTACGACGTCGCACACGTTCTCCTCCCCAGCCCATCGGCATAACGACGTCGCACACGTCCTCCTCGCCAGCCCATCGGCACAACGACGTCGCACACGTCCTTCTCGCCGGCCCAGCCTACCAACCGTCCGGGCAACGGCTACCAGCCACTCTAATAGCCATAATCTCCATTTTGACCTCCAAAAGCTGATAGGACATTCTCATCCTGAGCTTCTTGACCTTCTCTTTGCTTTTTTACACGTTGCCAAATGAAATGTTGTCATTTAATGTGCGGCTTTTCCCACACAACTCGGCTCTAATTGTGGTTTTCCCCAGTGTTTGGGTTCTCCTGGTTTTCGTTGTTGAGGATTTTCCAGGAGTCACGCGCCACAAGGCCGCGTTGGGCCTGCCCAACCCGGATGCTGTTGCGACCTATCTTTTGCTACAATGAGGCCGGGCCGACTTCAAGTACACCGTGTAGACAAGATTAGCCAGACTGGTTGGGCTGGGAGAGAGGTTTGTTTCTGTTAATTGCTGCATTAATTCAATGGCTCCAGTTATCCCATCTCTTCGCACGCGGTCGTTGGACGGTGTCTTGTGTTATGGGAATTTCCAAGCCCTTTGTGTTTACACCGCACACTACGGCCGGTGCCAATAAACTGATTAATGTAATATCACCGGCATATGAGCCGGATACGTGATCTCTGACCCACCAAACTGGTCAGACGTATCCTCCCCTCCAGACTGAATGGTCTTACAGTCATATATCTAGTCAGGTAGTGAAATATATCGATGCTGGGCTAGCACTCGTCGAACTCCAGCTTTCAATTCTCCGCACCCAGTTGATATATATATATATATATATATATATATATATATATATATATATATATATAGCGGTAGTGGTCATACGACCCTTTCATTACATTACCGTAGTTGTTATATTTTCCCGCCGAAAAATGCTTCTTCTGCATCTGTGCTCAAAACGACGTCAACCTTTCTCAGCTTTTCTCTCAGTGGTCACAAGACGTAATAAGGCGGAGGGCTGCTTCGATTTCAAGCGCTACGACGTCGACAAGCATCCAACTACCATACGCCATTTAAGCTGCAAAATGGCTTGATCTATAATGATAACGATTCAAACGATTTAACAGAGCTCCGGCAATAGGTAGGCACCCAGCGATGGGGCTGTGCAGAACCATGCCGTCTTTTGGCGGATCGCGGCGCGTGACCTTTTTCATCTGAGGTCTACCCGATCATGGTGCGCCCACCCGGCCCAAGTAAAATAATCATCTGGATGACCGCGTGAACGATTCCCCTGCTGCGCGCTCGGGTGGCCGGTTGCAATGCCCTTCGCTCGGGTGAGAGTGAGGGTCAATGGTACCTCGCTGAGATCTCGAGAACTAAAGGAGCTAGATAAGCCAAATTCACGAGCTGGGCTGTTCTGTTTGTAAACTCATCATGCCAAAATTTGAGGTCCGTCAGTAATGAAACTTGTGTCAAACCAGGTCAAACAAGGTCAAACTCTGGAGTGTTCCTGAAGTGCTACGGACCTCCTCAGGCAACCAGATCTTCTCTTGAACAAAACT